ATTACCTAATAAGAATATAATAATTTTAGTTGAGTTCGATAAATATTTAAACCGAATATCGACAGTTCATAATTGTTCGTTTGTTGTTTGTTTTGTCACTACGATACCTGTCTATTAAGTACGGTATTTATCTTTATATAAATTGAATTCCATACTTCATGTGCGTTATTTATCAAACTAATCTATCTTACTTAGATAAACTCTAAAACAACCGTCAATCCACTAGACAAAAAAGACAGCAATATGTTCTTGTACTCTTCACTTTGTCAGTGGAAACACTGGTAAAAGAGTTTTATTAAACACTCAGACCACTGCCTGCTAGAATGGCGCGCTATTTCTAATACGTCTGAATGACATTGACAGGTGTCAGATAGTGATGGGACGTATGCCAATGATCTAGTGTTGTGCTAATCCTTCAGCGCAGTACCGATTTGTTTTTAACAGCATCTATAAGTTAAATGGAATCTCGAATAATTCATATACCAACTTGTTCATACATTACCTAGCGTTATTTAGTGGCCAGTATTATTTTTTATTTAAACATGAGAAATTGTAAATATATAATTAGTTTCGCTTACACATTCCCATACCATTGTATTTATTTACCTCTATTATTTATTGTAGTTTAAAATTGTACTTACAAAGGTTATGTATGAAAATAAAAAATACACTTTGTACTACATTTGTTTCAATCTATTATTTTATTTCAACAAATAAATCAAATTCTATCATTTTTAGGTTATCTTTAAAAAATGCGACTGTCAGTTGTTTTGTTATTATTTTTAAAATGAATTGATTCAATTAAAGAGTATGAATACCTCTCCAACGATGTTTCAAGTGGGTCTACGTTACCAGAAGCGACAACTGAATGGGCTTTCAACACAATTATCCTGTTGCTTCCAGTTAATTTGGCCTCTCAGTTCAAGAGCCTCTTTTGTATTGCTCTGATACGTTGTTGATATTATACCTAAACACTTATGGTGGTCTATAAACTACGTCTTTTATACGAATTACATTCTTATGAATATTAGAATAAGGGCTGGTTTTGCATGAATGATTTAACAAACGTACTTTTGCAATACTATTAACTACTTGACTATGTTGAAAACTTTATTTTAAAAGCGATTACAAATCTCCGAACAGCTTACAAAAGGCTTAAAATAAATGTATTTTTTTGGAAGCTCCTAGGTTTTAAATCGACACTAAACCTAACCTATAAATTATCTTTGTTAGGTAAAGTCAAAATGTGCTTATTCAATTTTCAACTTCTACTCTAAAGTATTCTTTGTACTTCTTTATTGTGAATATAAAACTACACCGTTATTCCATTCACTAACAAAACCGATACATTTTGTTACAAACATGTCAGTTTTACGGTACATTTGATTTCTGAAGTGGCGAAAGAATGGTATGTTTGCATTGTCCTGTCTACGCATTGATCACACGCCTGTCGGTGTTACGCGCGCATGATCGACTACCGCCTCGTGACGGATCGTCTTTGCACATTTTCTTTGAATACCCACCGATTACCGGAGTTATGCTTTAAAACCTTTCTATTCGGTAGCCCAACAATGTGCGATTACAATGTATGTAACGGTAATTGGACAAAAAAAAAACAAAATATTATTATTGTATACTAGTTTACTAGCTTTCGCCCGCGACTCCGTTCGCGCGTAATTTACAAAAAAACAAAAGCATGTAGCTTATGTGTTCTTACAGACTATCCTCTACATCTATGCCAAATTTAATCTAGATTCCTTCAGCCGTTTAGGCTACAAACCCTAACAAACAACCATCCCTCTATCCATCCATCCATCCATCTAAACTTTCGCATTTATAATATTAGTAAGAGTAAGATTACGTTTAACATAATTCTACCTAAAGACCTAAAGTCAGGGAACTTAGTTGAACTTGGTTATTGCATTTGGAAAAAAGAGAAATTATTACAGTTATAATCAGCACTCAGCTTTAATTCTGTAATTATTTTCTTAATCTACCCTCTCATCCTATCTACGTAATTCATCTTTGAGACTGATTTACTCACTCGAAAGAACCAATCACGCATAAATATTACACATATAACTTCGCATAACAGTTACGTAACATAATTAGAGTCATAACAATACTTGTAACTAAGATATTGGTTATATAAACAACTAGCTATTCAATCAAATGTATCCAAAATTAAATGTTACCTAAGATAGGCGAGAAGGTCGGCGGGTATTAGAGTATAATTCAGTTAGTAAGGATCAACTGCGGTCTTAATACGACGAAGCCCGATGCACTTGTGAGGCGTCCGAGCCCACCGGACTACGGAGCTAGGCCACAACTGTTTAGTATAACACGGTAAACGTAGCAGTACACGGTAAGTTAACTTCTATATATTTTCTAGAAATATTATGTGAATTTATTATATTATTGTTTGGTTTTATATGATGTATTTTATGGTGAAATTACAAGTAAGCATTTGATATTAGCAGACATTGTGTTTTCATACGTATGGTAATTTACGTACTTAACGTTACTTTGATTGGTAACTTAACTTCAACTGTATTGTACTTGCTCTTAAAATTTATGAGTAAAAGTCGATAACATTTTCTTTATCCAGTTTTTGAATTCTATGAGCAACATCAAAAATGAGGGAAGGTTTAAATATAACGTCATTACCGAGTCCTATAGGAAGATACAAGCTTATTAAGAAACTTGGTTCTGGTATATTTGGAGAAGTCTTCAAGGCGACTGACGCGCAAGCGGCGGACAAAGCCGTAGCTGTCAAAGTACAGATACACTTCGAAGATGATGATGCCCACATTCATGAAGAATATAAAATATTACGGGACTTCACATCTCATCCGAATCTTATCGATTTCTACGGCGTGTTCTGTGAAAAATCTGAGAGTCTTAGAAAAATATGGTTTATATTAGAGGTAAGATGTGCTTACTATTATATTTTTTATTATTTTTTTATTATTACATACCATTTTAAAATCTAGGAATTGTTAGAGAAATTGTGAATTTGTAACTGAACATCCTTATTTCCTAGCTATGCGAACTTGGTACTGTCATGGACATTGTCAGAAAACTGAAAGCCACCGACAGGAAAATGTCCGAAGAGCACATCGCTTACATACTCAAATATACGATCAAGGTAAGTCCATATTCGATTGACTATAAACATGTCTCTCGTCACATACGAGCCAAAATGGCTACATATAAAACAAAGGGCCTGCCAGTCCACCTTTCAACGGCTGAATCAATCGTTGGGTACTTTGAATGCAAACTCAATTGTTCTCGTATCTGAGAGCGGGCGATTTCTTCTCGTTGCGTGACATCGAATAAAATATTGCCGGCCGAATGTCCACGTACGTTGA